TGGGGTTTAGGGTTTGGGGTTTAGGGTTTGGGGTTTGGGGTTTTGGGTTTAGGGTTTTGGGTTTGGGGTTCAGGGTTTAGGGTGTGGGGTTTGGGGTTTAGGGTTTAGGGTTTAGGGTCTAGGGTTTGGGGTTTAAGGTCTAGGGTTTAGGGTTTAGGGTTTCATGTTCAGGGTTTAGAGTTTGGGGTTTGGGGTTTAGGGTATGGGGTTTGGGTCTAAGGGTTTAGGGTTTAGGGTTTAAGGTTCAGGGTTCAGGGTTCACGGTTCACAGTTCAAGGTTCAGGTTCAGGGTTCAGGGTTCGGGGTTCAGGGTTCAGGGTTTGGGGTTTGGGGTTTTGGGTTTAGGGTTTGGGGTTTAGGGTTTGGGGTTCAGGGTTCGGCGTTCGTGGTTCAGGGTTCAGGGTTTGAGGTTCGGGGTTCACGGTTCACGGTTCAGGGTTCAGGGTTCAGGGTTCACGGTTCAGGGTTCAGGATTCAGGGTTTGGGGTTTCGGGTTCTAGGGTCTAGGGTCTAGGGTTTAGGGTTTAGGGTTAAGGGTTTAGGGTTTAGGGTTTGGGGTTTGGGGTTTGGGGTTTAGGGTTTAGGGTTCGGGGTTTTGGGTTTGGGGTTTAGGGTTTGTGGTTTGGGATTTTGGCTTTTGGTTTTGTGGTTTGGGGTTTAGGGTTTAGGGTTTGGGGTTTTTTGTTTGGGGTTTAGGGTTTGGGGATTTTTGTTTGGGGTTTAGGGTTTGGGGTTTGGGGTTTAGGGTTTAGGGTTTAGGGTTTGGGGTTTGGTGTTTGGGGTTTGGGGTTTAGGGTTTGGGGTTTAGGGTTCAGGGTTTGGGGTTTAGGGTATGGGGTTTGGGATTTAGGGTTCAGGGTTCTGGGCTCAGTGCTCAAGGCGTAGGGTTTGGGGCTAGGGGCTCTGGGTTCAGGGTTCAGGGTTCAGGGTTCATGGTTCAGTGTTAAGGGTTCAGGGTTCAGGGCTCGGGGTTCAGGGGACATGGTTCAGGGTTCAGGGTTTAGGGTTTAGGGTTCAGGGTTTACAGTTTAGGATTTGGGGTTTGAGGTTTAGGGTTCGGGGTTCAGGGTTCGGCGCTCGGGGTTCAGGGTTCGGGGTTCGAGGTTCGGGGTTCACGGTTCACGGTTCAGGGTTCAGGGTTCAGGGTTCAGGGTTCAGGGTTCAGGGTTCAAGGTTCACGGTTCAGGGTTCAGGGTTCAGGATTCAGGATTCATGGATTAGGGTTTTGGGTCTGGGTTCAGGGTTGGGGATTTAGGGGGTTTTAGGTTTAGGGTTCAGGGTTCGGAGTTTGGGGTTCAGGGTTCGGGGTTCTGGGTTGGGGTTCGGGGTTCAGGGTTTAGGGTTTAGGGTTTGGTGTTTGGGGTTTGGGGTTTGGGGTTTGGTGTTTAGCGTTTAGGGTTTGGGGTTTGGGGTTTGGGTTTTGGGGTTGGGGTTTTGGGTTTGGGGTTTAGGGTTTAGGGTTTAAGGTTAAGGGTTTACGATTCAGGGTTCAGGGCTCAGGGCTCAGGGCTTAGGGTTCAGGTTCCAGGGCTCAGGATTCAGGGTTCAGTGTTCAAGGCTAGGGCTCAGGGCTCTGGGCTCGGCGCTCGGGGCTCGAGGTTTGGTGTTCGGGGTTCGGGGTTCGGGGGTCTGGGTTCGGGGGTCTGTGTTCGGGGGTTGGGGTT